GACTTATAGACCTAGTGATATCTTTTTATAAGTTAAATTATAAATCTAAAGTCAATAATAGTATTATTAGAATAACAATATTACATAATTATACGACAACTATAGGACAATCGTTTTGTATAACAACTATAGAGTATCTATAACTTAGGATAGTTTGTTATAATTTAACTATAAGGGTACAGATTAGATACTTAGCCTAGACTAAAGGCTAAGAGAGACAATGACATTACATATAGCTAAATAACTTAAGGACGTATAAACAGGTATAAAACCCTTTATATAACAATAAGTAGGATTAGCTCTTTAGTCACTAGAATATATATTAATTTACCCCTAAACTTATGTCTTATTTATATATTAATATATAAAAGCCTATTTAATAAGTATATACTTCTTCTTATAAGTAATACTTCTTCTTATAAGTAATACTTCTTCTTATAAGTAATACTTTTTAAAGTTATAGTCTAAAGGTCTAAATAGCTTATTTTTTAAATAAAGACGTTAAGAGATAGCCTAGCTTTCTTTATAGCGTCTTTAATAGTCTTGTAGTAAAAGTATTTATAAATCTATTTAATTAGTAATCTATTAGTAATAAAATAAAGCTTTTATTCTTTTACTTAAGAAATAATTTAGTTAATTCTACTAAATAAGTTTTAAGTACTTAATAAGTCCTAATTAGAAATTACTAGACCTTTAGTAGCCTTTTCAATTTATTTCTTTTAATAAGGAACTAGTTAGCGTTTTACCCTTTAAACTTAGCTAGGAGTTATAGTCTAGTATTAGTTTATAAAACGTCCTTAATAAGTGTTTTTACTATATCTACTAAGGTCCTTTTCTATATATATTAGGCTACTAAGGCCCCTATTAGGCGTTTTAGGACCCTAGCTATTTAGTACTTATCCTTAAAATCCTTAAGGAATTTAATAATATTATTACCTTAATATAATAAGGCTATAGCCTATCTTAGTATAAAGAGCTTATTAAATGTTTATATTTTATTTTAATTAAGCTTATCTTTAAGAGAGGTAGTAGTTATTTTAATTTAACTAGTAATTAGTTTTAGTAACCTATTAATAACTATACTACTAAAAAGGCTACTTTTAGTTAAGGACTTATTTTAGGTTTACTTAACCTTAAGGGGGCTACTAGTAGAGTTAGTATTTAAATTTAGGCCAGCTAAAGTAAAAGTAAAGGCTTATAGCCTATTAGGTTAGCTAAAGTCTTTCATATCAAAAGTTATAAGTAGGTTATAATAAGTATTAAAGTTATTACTACTTCGTTCTTTTTATTTATCTTCTAGGTTAAGTAGTAAGTTAAAAAAACTTTAAATCTTATTTTTCTCTTAACTAAAAGTAAAATACTAATTACTTATTTTTAGTAAGATTATTAATATATAGGTGTCTATAAGGTTAATAATAATATTAATTATAGTGTATTTATTACTTTATAAATAAATTCTTTCTAAGTAAAATAACGTTTTACTTAAAGTCTAAATAGTAAGTATTATAATTAATAACACTTTTTATATAATAAGTTATATAGTAAGTATAATCTTAATTAGGTAAGTTTCTATTAAGGGTTAGTTCTCTTACTAAGTTATTTAAGGTTTTTAAGTTCTTTGTTTTAAAAAGATTCTTTAATTAGTTCTTTATATCTTAAGAGTATCTTATTATTATTATTATTCTTCATACTATTTTACTTATTTTTTTAAATAAAAGTAGTCTTTAATTAGATACTATATATATCTAGATATTATTAGCTATTTAAATTATATATTCTTTTACTTACTTATTTTATATCTATATTACGTCTTATATTATTAATACTACTAAGTTAGTTTATAGTTTATACCTTATACTTTAATCTTTAGAATTATTTTCCTAGGAGGGGAGACTATTAAAAGCGTATAGTAGTATAGTTAAGGACTTTAGTTATAATAGTAAAGTATAAATAAACACTATAACACCTTATAACTTAAAGTAACTTAGGTACTTAGATTAGTTATAATAAACGTTAAGGCTTTAATTAGGCTTTTAATACTAATTAGAGACTTTAAGACTTAATTAGACTAGACAGAAGGCTCCTTATTACCTAAGTTATTATATATTTGCTAAATTAAGTGTAAGGTAAGACTTTTAATTAGTAATTTTGAAAGTTTAAAAAAGATTAGAAGAAGAAGCATAAAGATTCTCTATCTACTATAGCTAATTAGAAGGTTCTTATACTTTCTAGCTGCTAATTAGACTCTCTTCTTATATTCAACCTAATAGTAACTTATAATCCCTGTCTCTGCTTTAGTATCTTTAGTAGCTTTTTTACTATAATTATTATCTTTATTATAAGAGTGTTAAGGAGTAAGTTAGAGGGCTTCTTTATAGGCTCTACTTAATATTAGAGATAGATTAAATAAGTAAAGATTATACTTAGTGACTTTAGAGTAGGTATTAAGTCGCTAACTTCTAACAACTTTATTATAATAATATATTAAGATAAAAGCTTATTAGATAATACTTAGCTTTTTAATAAGCCTTTTAAGGATCTAGAGCTTACTTATCTTTAGATTATTATATATAACTTTTATAAATATATTTTCTTGCTATTCAGATAAATAAGTCTAGATCTATTCTAAGGTCTTAAATTATTTCTTTATATAATAGACTATATTAGGAAAATCTTATATACTATTACTATAGATATAGGTAAAATAGAAGTAAGAAGTCTTATCTTTTAGTATAATAAAAAAGGTAGGGGTAAGTTAGTGCTTTTTAATCCTAATCTTACTATATTTATCTTAAAATATACTTAACTTAAGATATAGAACGTTTTATAACTTACTACTATACTTTATTTTATTAGTTAATAGCTTTATAAGATTAGTTAGTTACTATAAGGATAGTAATAAGGAATTAAAGTAATAAGTTAATTAGTTATATAGGTTACTAATATAGTTATTTAGTAGTTACTAATTAGATAAATTAATAGTTTTATCTATTAAAGGTTTTTAGTAGTAAGATAACTTATCTTATAATAGTCTATACACTAGATTTTATAATAAGTTAGTAATAGAATAGAATATAGCGGTATAAGGGGGAATTAGTAGATATCCTATATCTTAGGTATATAAAGTTAAAGCTAGCTATAAATATATTAATAGATTTAGTAAAGCTAATAGAACTACTATAGGTAAGTAGCTTATAGTTAGTTATTATCTTTTTTATAACTTCGTATTTAAAATATACTACTTAGCTACCTCTAATTTACTAAGTTATTACTATAGGTCTTTACTAGTAGTAGTTATAGTTAGTATATATTATTTACCTAGTTATACCTTACTTATTTATTACTTATAAAGTTATACCTATTACTTCAGGCTAACGTACCCTCTAGTAATATCTTTAAGAAAACCTAGATCTAATTTAATTTAATAATAAAAAGTAGTTAACGTAGACCTTATCTTCTTAATCTCTTTATTAGTCTATAAGTAAAAGTCTTTCTGCCTAAGAATAGTAGTAAAACTTAAGGTAACTTATTAACTATATTCCTTTTTTATATAGACGCTATATTTAAGAAAAAGGTTATAAAAAAGGGTAAAAGGCTTTAATCTAGCCTTATTAAAAAGCTTAGTTAAATATCTATTAAATTTATATTAGTAATCTTAAAAAGAATTATAACTAATAATGTTATTTCATACTTAGTTACCTATATACTATATAAGGTATAAGTAGATAACATTAAGGTCTTATTTATTAAGATATATCTTAGTACTATTACTTACCTTATATTTTTTAGCTATAATATATTTACTTATTAAATTTAGTAGCACTAGTAGTAGCAGTAAGCTATAAAAAAATCCTTATTAGCTTATAATAGTAAGTATATTTATTAAGAGAGAAAAGGTAAGTAAAAAAGTAAGTAGTTACTAAAGTTAGTTAAATTAAGTAGTATTTTAATAGCAGTTACTATAATACTTTATAAGATAATTTAAAAGTAAGCTTTTATAATAATAATAATAATTAAAAAATAAAAGTAAAGTTAAAGTTAAAAATAATAAAGGTAATAGTAATAGTAATAAATTACTAGGTTATATAAAGGGCTTTTAATACTAACGTTATAGATTAGTAGTTCTACTATCTATAAGAATAATAATTAGTAGTATAATAGACGCCCTTAATAACAGCCTAAAGGAGGAAGTTAAGGTTTAAGGTAGTTACAGGCGTAAAGCTCTAGCAATACCTCCTTCGTATAATTAATAGCCTAAAAGAAGAAAATTATCTCTTCTTATTAATTAGCTACCTTACTAATTATTAGTTATAAGTAACTACTAATTAGTGTTAGTATAATAAGTAAGGTAGTAAATAAGTGTTAATATTAATAGTATTAAATTATAAATATCTGTAGTTACTGTTGTATCTAGGATTTAGCCTAGGCCCCTTAGTGTGGTAGGTAGATGTAGAGGATTCTGCTGAGGGAGGTGGTGTGTCACGTGACCCACCTCCCCGGACCGTATCTCCCGTATGCCAACAACTACAATATGCACCGTCCCTGCATTAAAGATGTACTTCTTTATAAGCAAGACAGACAAACGTAGTCGTTATAAAAGGTGCCATTATTAAATGTTTCTAAGGAATGTCTTCACGAGACGGACGTTTGCAGGTGTGATATCTGCCACTCCTGCAAGGGTAAGACTAGGGTTGAGCTCTAAATCACTCGTCAATTACGACGCTACGACACTACATAAGAAGTTCGTAGAGGTTATCTAATGGTTAATAGTTTATATAACAGTTTAGTTCAGTTGCATTTATACCTGATAAATATTCCACAGTTACTGTATGAGCTTTGTCTAATCTGTCCACATAGAGAACAGTAATACATCTCAGAATGGTAAAATTATTCCGTCTAAGAGCATCTACTGCCTGTCTCATCTAGTAGCCAGCTGTAACTAAGCTTGTTTCTCTCATGAATCCAATTCCCTCACTTTAGTGCTGGTACAAAAACCTCACTTATGCTTGTCTTTCCTGTCGGATCTCACTGATATTATTCTCGAGATGATCATCATCGAGCTTCTTCGTGCCGGCCCCGCCCGTGAGTTCGAAAACTGCATTGCATCATTCATCAGCCTGATCCTTTGACGCCTGGTGGCACGCCCCGTAATATTGATACAGAGGAGTTTGTCGATAGTGTGACAGAACTTACGGTCAATGGGGTGGGTAGCGAACTGGCGCGCAGGAACTTTCTTTTGAAACAGGTAGTCCAGTTCAGCAAAGCTGCGATTCATGGTTTCTGGTAGGAAGAAAAAGATCCAGACAGCCCAAATGCAGCATAGCCCGAAGTAAAAGTAACCAGCTTTGGCGCCCCAATTCCAAGCATCGCCTTTACTGTTCAACATGCGTGGGTTGAGCTGCTGGACGATGATTTGGCCCACGACGTAAACAGCACGGCCGAGGACAATTGTCTGGGATCGAATGCGACTAGACGAGGTTTCTCCTACAATGGTGAATGTGGTTGGACCTAATGACATTTTGAAGGTCAGATTGGTGATGATTAAGGCCACAGCCACGCCGATTGCAACGTTGGAGGGCGCAACGCCGACAGACCCGAGGATGCCGACAATCAGCATGAGGCCACCAATAATGGAGGACCCGAAGAAGAAGAAGGTACGACGTCCGACCCTGCCCATAAGAACAATTGCTATACCTGTACCCAGAATATTCACCGATTGAATACCCATGTTGAAGTTGAAAGACTGAGTCTCGGGCATGCCAGCCGATTTCAAAAAGATAGCGGCGTAAGAGCAGATGGATTGACCGTTGAGAATCTGGATGACCCAAGCCATACAAATAATACCAGTTCGGCGCAAATTGGTTCCGTGAAAACAGTCCTTGTACGTCGCTCCCGCGGCTTCAATCTTCTCCATCTCATTGGTGTGCTTCATCAGAGCCAAAGTCCCAGCCATGGACTGCTCGGTATAGTGGTCTTTTCGTGCGAGGCGGCGCAGCGATTTCTCAGCATCGTCGACGCGACCCTTGCGGATGAGGTACCATGGGCTCTCCGGGGCGAGATAGCCAACTATGAATAGGGGAATGATCCAAACCCACTGCAACGCATAGGGGATCTTCCATCCGAGATCGCCTTCCAGTTCGAGAGAACCACGGAGAACAATAGTGGCCAGAAATGTGCCAGTGCCCCAGCACATGGATACCCAAGCAGTCAGGTATCCGCGCATAGCAGCGGGGCAGATTTCGGCGGCGTAAGCGGTAGTAAGTGTTTGAAAGATGCCCCATGGGATTCCGCACAGAAAATTGGCTGCCAAAAGCATCTGGACGTTGACGGAGAAGAACAAGGTGAAGATGGTTGCGCCCATAGAAACCATAGCCGCCATGTACACCTTGCGAGAACCGAAACGGGATTGCAGCCAACCATTTAGCAAGAGACCGACGATGCTGCCCAGGTTGTTACCGTTGCCGATAGCCGCCTGCCACGAAGCCGAAATGTGTTGGTCCCCATTACCATCGGGCCAGCCGAATTTGTTAACATAGGCGTTTTGGGCGAAGAAGTTATTGATGAGGCCAACATCCATACCCTCCATGACAAGAGCCAAGCTTAGCAGCATGCTGTACGTCGCGGCTGGCCAGTAGCGCGAGAAAAGTTCTTTGCGGGAAAGTTTGCCCTCTTCTTCACTTGCGGCTGCGGCAGCCTCGATGAGAGCGACGTTCGGTGTGTATGCCCCATACTCAGCGTGGTTGGCAGACCTGGTGTGTGACTTTTCGTAATCTGCCATCGTGTCCGTACGGGAATAGGTAATTCGGGCTGGGGATTGACAATGGGAGATAATGTCGCTAAATACAAGAGGAACAAGCAGGAGAGGGTGGGATGCACGGGAGATGAAGAATTTGTGCTACCACGCCCATTATCGGTTCCGATGGTCTGGTATCTGCCATTGCCAAGTCGTCGAAGATGCGCCAAGAATTTGCCATTCACCCTTTTTTCTAAGTTTGCCTGGGAGCTTAGAGCTGTATTGGTAGGAGCCCGTCGGCTGCTTACATTTCGTCATGGAGTCCACGAATCAGTTCGCTCTCATCTTCAGCTCACTCTTTTCGAATCACACAACCTCAGGCTAACCCCAAATTGCAGATGATTGTGCCATGTGATTCATCCTCCTCTTCCTCTTCTCTAGGCAGGGGGTACAGCAAGGTTCGTCAACCAGCATTCACATTAGCTCAGTGACCCCATGCAGACGGTACCGGGGTTCGAGGTGTCTCTGGGGCATCTTTGAACCGAAATCGCGGGGAATAGGCGGGGAAGCGTCCTCTAGACCAATGATATCAAGCCCTGGCCTGTCCATTGAGGAGCCAGTTCATCGAGGAACGATGGCCAGAACGCTGGCATTTCCTGTTGGTCACGACGCGTTTTTCTTTTTGATTGTTTCACCAGCTTTGCTTGCTATCTACTTTGTTTCCCTTTATACCCTACTGTTAGTATTGCAGTATTGAGTGTTTATCTGCAGCATGAGTTTAGGTCTTTTATGCTGACACTGGAGTGTTTATGGACGTTGTGTCACCTTTGGTACATGTGCTAGAACAGAAGTCATACATCCCATGAGCCCGCATCTCGTCTCCGTCTACGGCAAACTTTGCCATGTTCTCTCCATGTCTTGGTCACCCAGTGCACTGCCCAGTCTTGGCTACTTAGCGATAAGTCCCCTTTACCCGGTGATTCTGCAATCTTACGTCGGTTAATGGAGTTCCCGCGCCCGACTCGGGTGCTCAGTTGCCAGCCAAGAAAATGGGCACAATGCCCAGACTTGGTGGCCCACAAAAGCCTCATTCCACCATTCAACGCTCATAAAGCCCGACCGCTACTTAAACAGATTGGTTCGAAACAAGAAGTTATCCCCGGACCCTGGCTCGGGTCATCATCCAAGTTCAGACATGAAGGGTGACCAGAGATGGTTGCCAAGACTAATGCAATGTACGCCGCAGACGGGGCTAGGTTTTGGGCTGTACAGCTGTGAGTCGTCCTCACTTTGGCTGCACGACGAAATCTTTCAATTATACTGAAATTGCAGGTATTCAGGCCAACTCCTGTAAGTGCCCTTCAGTGAATTATCATAAAATGTTTTACTTCCTGTCTTGTTTTGATAGACGCAACTTGAAAATTCATTGTTTTCCTTTAAATTTCTAATTCCATGATTACAAAGCTTCAATAGCTTCATTAATACCTTACCGGGGAAGCTGAGGGTATTAATCAAATATTTGAGTTGTCGTGATGCCCTCATGGGCATCATGCTCATGTGTGGAGCCGGCCGCAATACAGCCAGGGTTTATCTAGAACAGAGGAATAGTTCTTCTAAGCCAAACTTTATCTCTACATAAGCAGCCCACTTAAAGAAAACCTATTTCTTTAAGCTAGGCTAACTATTACTAAACGTTAGATAGTTAAGCTGTTTTCTTATAATATTTTTTACTTAAAAAGTAACTTTATAATAGTTATAAGCTTAGCTTATACTACACCCTTAAACTATTATATCTAAAGTGCCTATAGGCTAAATATCTTTTTCTTAAATAAACTATTTTATTTAAAAAAGAACTTTTAGACTAATAATATTAATTAATAGTATAAAAAGGTAAAGTTATAAGCTAACTACCCTACTTAGTATATAACCTTTTAGCTTAAAGCTAAATTAAGGTATATTTAGAAATATATTAACCTAAATAGTCTATTTATAAACAAGGGTAGTAATTTATACCTAAATAAAATCCTTAATATTATAAAAGCTTATACTATTAATAAGTTTATTAATATTAAGAATATAATATAGGCTTAATATAAGTAAGTACTAGTATTAACTAATCTTGATATAAAACTTATTTATTAATTATATCTCTTAAGTAAAGTAGTACTAAAGATAATTTATAAGTAATAAAAAAAGAGTTTTAATATAGATAAGGGCTAAGTTTTTTTCTTAGTAATAAATATAATATATATATATAGTAAGTAGATAATTATAGTAAGCAGACTACTTTTCTTTCTTTTTACCTCTTTAACTTTTATATTAATATTTCTCTATAAATAAATATATAATCCTCCTTAATTAAAAGCCGTATTATCCTTACCTTTTAAGCTATTTAAAAAGACCTAAAAATATCTATATAAAAAGTAGCTACAGTCTTTAATATCCCTTATATAACACTATAGTACTGATTTATAGGACGCATTATATAAGACAAGACGTATATAAACTTAAAGATAATAATAGAAGTTAAGGAGGAGGTAATTCTTAAAAAGGTTATTAACCTAAGTAATTAACGGTTTCTTTTATAATAAGAAGATATATAAGATAAAGCTAACTAACTTCTATATATATATAATATAATATATATTAGACCTTAATAAATAAAGAACTTTATATAATAATAACGCTAATTAAAAATATAGTTTTAATATTAAATTAACTATTAGAGAGCCTTAGCTAAAGATCTTATAATTATATAAGTATAGTTTATACTTATATAAAATATAATTATAAAGTATAAGATATAAAATTATAATATTTATAATTTTAATAAGACTAGCTTCTTAATAGGAATACTATTATATATAAAGATTATTATAACCTTTAATTATAAGGGAAGGCCTTATGTAAAGCAGCCTAGTAATTAAGAATAAGTTTCTATTATTTAAGATATATATATAAATAGCTAGGTAGTACCTTTATATATTATTATAAAAAGTAAATATTACTTCCTCTTTTAGTACTTAAATAGCTAATTCCTAACTAAGTAGTATATTTACCTAAGTAAATATTAATAAATAATAAATAAGATTAACCTAAGTTAGTTAAATTATTTTAACTAGTATATTAAGTCTTATATAAAAAGTATATATTAACTTCTAATTCTTAGTAGCTATAATAGCTATAAATTAACTAAATTTAATATTTTCTATAAAGAATAAAAGATTATTACTTTATATATACCTCCCTATTTATTATATAAGCTTTAGCCTCTTAATATAAGTTATTTTAGCTTATTAAAGCTCTTATATAGTAAAAGAATTAAGAAGATAATAAGAATATAGATTTTATATATTATAAACAATAACTTTTTTTCTACTTTTAAAGTAGTATTTTTTACTTTAATAAGGAAAAGAAATATATAAGCTAGCTTTAGACAGGCTAGCCTTATACTTTTTAACCTTAAATTAGTTATTTTTTACTTTAACTTTAAGCTAAATATACTAACACTTTTTAGCTTATATCTAACTAGCTTAGGCTTATAGGACCTAAAGGCACTAACTATAGCACTAAAGGGTATATAAAGTGCTAGTTTACTAAAAAAAAGATCTAAAGATATAAAGAAAGCTTACTAATATTAATATATAAGGTAATTTATCTCTAAGCTAAAGGTATTAGTAAATTAGTATATAGGCTTACTCTTATTAAAGCTAAGAACCTTAGACTTTATATAAGCATAGATATACTAAGTAAGTGCTAGAGGGCTAAGAAGACCTAACTATACCTTAGAGAGTTACTTAATATAACTAAAGTAAAGGTACTATAAGAAGAAAAAAAAGGTGTTAAAGCTAGAGGTAGGAAAATATCCTAAAAGGAGGCTTATATAAAGTGTAGTAAACTATATATATAATAATATAGTAATTATAAAAAGACTAGATATAACGTATAAACCTATAAGGTAGTTTAAGATAGTAATAAAGAAGACAGTAATAAGTAGTTTTAATTAACTTTATATATTATAGCTTAATTAATTTATATAAAAGGTAGAAAAGTAAAAGGAAGTAAGCTACTTACTATAATAAGCTACTTACTATATATATATGTTATATATAACTAATAGTATAAGAACTATTTAGAAAGGTTTTAAGGGCGTAGCTTACTAGGTCCTTAGACCTATACTACTATTATTAGTAGGCTTTTTATTTTTATTTATCTTAATATCCTCTTATATAGCAGTAGTAGTAGTAGTATAGTACTTCTTAACTTTAAGGTAAAAGCTAGTATAGTACTAAATATAAGCTAGTTATAAAGAAGCATATAGGTAATAGCTTAAGAGAACTTATAGCGCTAATAAAAACGCTAATTATCTTAATAGTATAGATAATACGCTTTACCTAAGTAGAGGTAAAAAGTAAAGTAGCTATAGTAGGAGTAGTAGCGCTAGTAAATATAGTAAGGATATTAGATATAAAAGGCGTAGTAGGCAGTAGGGGCGTAATAAGTAAGATAAGAATAAGTAGTAAGGTAGTAAGACTAGTATTAGCCTAGTGTAGTATATAGCCTATATTACTACTTATAAGCTTAAAAGCCTTATAAAGCTATAAATAATTAGTAATAAAGAAATAAGTAGGTAATAAATAAGTATATACTATAGTAGTGTTATTATTAGTATACTTAGTAATACACTAAGTAGTAGTAGCCTAATTAAGCGCCTAGTAAAGTAGAAGTAAGTATAAGGTAATCTAGTAGTTAGTAAGTGTCATAAGCAAGTCAGGGCAACCAACTCTAGCACAAAGCAAAAGCTTTAGTAATAATATACCTGCATTATTATCCCCTGTTCTACACTATATAGTTACGTCAGCCAGCACCTAACTGGTTAGATCGTAACACTATATCTCCCCTCTAAGAGGCATGTCCCCATGCCAAGGACCAATTGGGCATGTCACAGGTATAAGCAGGGAAACTCCAGCAGGGGTATAGGGGACTAATCCCACACATGCTGCTTACAGTCAGAACGCTGAGGACTCTAGAGAGGATCCTATCTG